TACCATCTGTGCAGTCTGCAGTTCTGTTGAAGAAAGATGTTGAATCTATTTAATTATTCTTGAAAAATAATTTATTTCTGCGCATTTTTTTCCCCCACTGCATCAAATTAAAGTTGATTACGCCGATTAAGCATCACGAGGTGGAGGGTGGGTGGTTCCCTATTTTTTATTTTTTTTTGCTGGGAGTTTGCAACCCTATTAGTTAGGTTGCTTACTCTTTAAAATACCAGAATAGGGAGGCTGGAGTAGGTTTACGTTTATTAGATTGATCAGTATTGCTGAACTATGAAATATTTTGGGTGCAGTGTATTTTTTGCATACAGGTTTAACAGAATAGCTTTAGTGTTTTGTTTTGTTTTTTAACTTGAGTATGAACTTATACAAAAAGCAGCAAGATATTTAAAAAAACAGTTTTGTTGATTAAAAAACACACTATATCGGATTCATATCGGTAACGGCAGATATCCAAATTTATGATATCGGTATCGGACATAAAAAAGTGGTTTGTGCCATCTCTAGTACTAACCCAAGCTGAGAAAAGTTGCCAGCTGACTTGGCAAGTTTGGTCATTGACCTGGCATAGGCCTCCTCAATAGTACTCCTAGAAGAGAGCAAGAACAAGAAATTAAACACAACACCACCATATATAAGCATGACTTTAAATAAACTGTTCAAATAACCATGAGTTTATACTATTATGTCAACAATGTCAAAATAACAATTATTCTTCTCAAAACTAGAGGATAGTGTTGTAGAGTATGATAAAGTTTTTCCAATTCACTTGCAACTAGGCTGCAGCTCAAACAGGGCACGTCGCTAAGAATCTGCACGTCCAGGCCAGAAACACCCACTTAGAACTCGCAGCATAAATGTTTGACCACATGCACCGTGTGTGGGCAAATAAATGTGGTTTGGCCTGGGATTTGTTCATAAACCTCATGTGGAAGATGACAGAGTATGAAAGCTAGTGTTTGAACTGCATGCTTCTCTCAATTTCCCTTTTTATTCCTGTATTCTGTAACAAAGTGACAGTAGTGGGGGGAAAAAACTGCAGCGGTGTTGTAGTGAAAGCGTGAATTTTGCATTTGGGTCTCCCGAACGAGGTCAGCCAGGGGGAAGCAGGTCAAATGTGCACATAGGCAAATGCACGCACCCAGCCTAGGCACACGCACACACACATAATCACGCACAGGATATTGTGACACTGTCTGCAGCACGGTGGAGATGCCTGCACTTCTTCTTCTGCATCTTTCGTTAGCCAGGGTTGGGAATTCGTTTTTTAAACTTTATCATGTTATAAATGCTCCCAAGCATAACTACAGCCATTACATTAACCCTAAGGAAGTTCGTGTTTGTACTTCTGAAATAGGGCATGTGAAAGCTAATATTTAAATTCTGGGCTTACACATTGTAGACGCATACAAGTTTGACAACCATTACTATTACTGGACAGCTCCTCCACCACATTAGACCTCAGAATACCTTTTAACTTCTTATTCAACAACATACGTCAATGGATTTTTAAAAGTGACTGTTGGTTGATTTTAAGTCCTTCAAATGAAAATGTAGAGCATAAATTGTTAAAACAATGCGTCATACATTTGTGAATAAGTCTACAGTGTTTGACGCTTATTGTGTGACACACATAACAGGGAAGTGAATTTAAATTTAAAGACACTTTCTTTTCCATATTTGATATCCATTCTCTCACGGTGAATAACTATAAGCTTAATAATTGATCATTTTTACGTTAACAAGGGTGCTTTTTGTTTCTCGCTTTACTTCCTCTTCTGCTGAAAATGAGAAACGGACTCCACGCCGCCTGTTTCTCCTTTCCCTCATTCAGTTTTTTAAGCTCAAACAAACGTGAAAATAGGCACCATATTCAAGCACTGGGACCTAACAGCTGCTAGTAATGGACTGGTAGTATTTTTGAGAGCGAAAATGTGGATCACTCTCATTACTCCACGTGAAGTTTAATTAGCAGACACTGTTGTGTGTGTGTGGTGTGTGTGTGTGTGTCCCTTTAAGATTTCATTAACTGACAGACACACAGTGCACATAGCTGCTTTCCCCAGCAGAGGAAGCCATAGTGCAGATTTTGAAACACTCTGTGAAACGTAAAAGACCAAGCTGACTATGAAGCTGGCACAAAGCAGCATAACCACACAGTAACTAAAACACTAACTGACCTTCTGTCTCCCCCATGAATAATGCATTGATTAATTTTAGTGTACTAAAGAATAGCACACCTGCAGAGTAGGAGGAGTATTAATATTTAAGCAAAGTCAAAAATCTGAAAGATCATTTATTATGTTTATTACAGGTCTTTGTTGTAAATGAGACACTGAGTCTCAACGGGACTAGCTGTATAAATAAAGGTTAAATAAATAAAAACATCAAAGTGAGACTGGACACTTTAAAAAGTCCAGGTGAGCGTCACAATTGTTGGAACAGCTTGTGGCAAGAAATATGAAGGTGGTGGTTTTCCTATCAGCAAACCTGCCACCAAAGAAATAAGAATAATAAAAAGATGTGGAATTATTGGAAAAATAAACATGTTAAATGACTGTGCTAAGTAAATAATTACTTAATTGTTGTTGAATATGACTGGTAGCATGACTGTTTTAGAGATATTTGGAAATGTTTCTACTGGGAAACTTTTTGATTAAAATAATCATGAAGCGGGAATCTGATCACGACGGCACAAATTCTATTTTTATCCTTCAATAAAGTAATCTGATCAACTCAAAGCGAGTTGAGTGCATTCCTCAACAACAGGAGGAACAGACAGTGGAATCCACAGCTGAATTCCAGAGCCAGCTCATCCGTCATGTAGCAGGTTACAGACTCACACCTCTTCCCACAAAGAACTGAGTCATCGTGGAGGTGGTAAAGGATGTGTAAGTTTACAGCAATATGGACAAATGAAACAGTTGGCAACAATTAAATCATTTTCAAATGATAGTCACATATAGATGGCTTTTTGTGAGGTTTCACCTTCACTGGTTTATTTTTCTTATTTGCTTTCGCCAACCAAAAAACCCACTGAACCTAATCACTCAATCGACTATGACATATGAAGACCTAATAGATATTTCTGTATGATTAGTCGAAGCCCTTTAACACCCCAGTGTGGTTCAAGGTTACAGTGTGTAAAAAACTTGCAAATTCAACGTGGATATTCATGGAAGTGTCAGCAAAGAATCTGCGTGTTATTATACACACAGTATGAGGAACTGGACGTGCAGGTTATAGCCTTAGAAAGACTTTTAAATACCAAAAAACCACATGGACAGGAAAGACATGTATTGAAGAGCTAGACAGAGTGCAACCAGTTAATTAGTAATGTGTTCAGTGTGTTAGATTAACCATATTGTGCCCTTGATGCGTACCAGAACACTGTGTCTTACCTTTCTCTGATGAAGTCTGTCAGCTCCTTAGTGGAAATTTGGCCATGCTTCATGTTATGGTAGAGCACATCAAAGCCATTATTTTTTTCCCCCTGTTTGGCAGACAGAAACAAAAAAAAAACGTGGAGGTTGATGCTCAGTCACTGCAAAAACCATTAAGTGTAGCAACACAAAGTCTGCTATTGATTACACATTACCGTTAAGGCTTTTTCTAGCAGCAGCGTTCTCATTTTTTGCATAGCTTCTATCTGCATCTGCAGTAAACTCCGGTCGACCATATTCATCTTGGCCATGTTTAAGAGCAACAACACTTAGAAATGAGCAAATCAACAAAAGACTGGTCGAAGGCTAAAACCTACAATGAAAGACACACCTGAACAGCTTTCTGTGCTGCTGTAACCATGCCACTGGGCAACAGTGTCCAGTTGCACTTTAAAAATGCAAAGACATTCTAAATAATTGATCTAGAAGAAAAACAGCAGACTTTGTTTTAACCAGAATTATTGTCTTCTAGGGGTAGCGGAACAATCGATAACCCATAACGTTGTGATATTTTGCATCAATACAGGAACACACCAAATATCTACATTTTACTGAATAAAATTAAATCTTATGAACAAGAGGGCCCCTCTCATACTACACCATCCTGAGACAACATTAGTCAGCAAACTTACATTAAATGAGCTCAAACGAAGAACCGTCCAACACTGGACACACCTAGCTTGACAAAGCTACCTCATAACTGGCTCAGTTACATGAGTAAGAATAGGATGGTTGTTCAAAACTTGAGGGTGTTGCACACTCATTACCACTTCTGATTGCTAAATGATTGCAAAGGTTGCTTAATAAGAGGCAACCTTTCGCAGTCTGACTTGGACTGGGTGCAATCACTCTCAAAGAGATTGCCAAATGTCTGCAAATAATTGTTATCTACTTCATAAATGTAGTCAAGATTGCCAACATGTTGCCATTAGTCTGAATGAGTCTTTGTCAATGAGCACAACTTGACTCAAGTGTTTGCCAGCTGGTTGTATTCTGGTTACATTCCTACAGAACAGGAAGGTTGCTGAGTGCAACTGTAATAGTAGATTTTCTGTCTATGCAGACAGCAACAAATATCTTTTTTTAACTATTTATCACAGTTAAATGCTGTATTATCAAAAACCAATTGCATTTAATTACCAAATTGACTCATTTAAGTGACATTGAAATGATATAAGACTTCATCAGGGTTCATCTAATGCCAACAGGAGGTTTTATTGACAATCTCATTTTACAACAAAAAAAATAACTTAAGTGAGATAACTTTAGCTTATTGTATAAAACAGATACTGACAGAGTTTAACACACATCACAACACATCTTGAATCTTGAATAATTTGCAGTTTAGGAAAAATCACAACACAATATTGGATCGCCAGGTGTCTGTTTATTCCTACCTCTATTTTCTGTATAATTCCTAAATCACTGAAATTACAGATAACAACTGTCAACACACATCACACCGCATGTGTACAGGCGGTTATATTTATAGAACATTTTGCAGGAATAGAAAAGTTCAGTATCTGATCAAATGTAAACTATGTTCGCATTGCCACTTCTATTGCAGACTTATGGAATTAAAATATGCCCGGAAAAAAGGTTCTGTAAAACATTAGGATGTCACAGAGAAGATGAACTTAACTTACTGTGTGTCTAATTCTCCCAAAAGCATAAAAAGTAAACAAAAAAATGAGAATTCACGACATAAAAATGTTTAGTGAGGTCACAGTACAATTCTTCATCTTCATATACAACTATATGAGTCATAAGTTGTTGCTGTCTGAAATAACTCATCTAAAAGGGCATCCACACAGGAAGTGATGCGCTCATTGCATATTATTTTGCGGCTCATGGCTGGTCACTAACTGACCTTCCAGGCTCCGATTGTCTGGACAACCCTCCACCCTATCAAATGTCAATTGTCTGGGACTTGTGTCAATTGCTCACACTAAAGTTGAATAAAGTTTAAATATGGGACTTGTCCTAGTTATTAATTTCACTAACTTCACCTTCAGTGTTTCTGAAATTACTGTTTGTACTGTTTCCACTTTAGTGTACAAATACAAATGCCTTCTGAAATAGGATCAGGAAAACATGCATTAAAATACCACCTTATATAATGTGAAGCACATGAGAAAGCTGCATTTTGTAGCTTACTGGCTGCAAATCTTACATGGATTTGTTCACGCAGCTGCTAGAGGATATTTTAAAAATGGGGCCTGGGACAAGCTAGACTCTATAGCTGAACTTGACCTTTGACCAACAAAGTCGAGCCAGTTCATCCCTGAGTTAAAATGAATGATTGTGGCACATGAGTCCCCTCCAGGTGATGCTGAGATATTACATTCATGAGAATAGGATGAACAACCTGGAAACATAATGCCTTTGGCCAAAGCAGCTGTGAGTGACTGGGGTAAAATAAAAAGATTGAACTTGTACTATAATGGCTGTAGTGCATGTATGTCTGTTTCCTATCCCCTCCAAGACACGTTAATCAATCTGGATAAAAACTGATATATCAACTACCCGGGTAGCAGTATTATCAACATATATATCTTTTGGTAATTATTTTTATAACCCTAAAATCCTTACTAATTACATATATTATGTGCAGTAGCTGATCTCAAAACGAACAACGACAGTAAATGTACACTACATGTACAGTGTTGTCGACAATACTTGTACATTTCTGTTTGTAAATATAGTTTGCTAAATTTTAGTGCAGTGGCACTTTAGGGTAACTGGAATGTGTGAAATTTACGAGCAACAGGGACTGTTAGTTAGAGGTTAACACCAGATCAGCCAAGGCTTGTTACACATTACAAAACCATTTGAAACACAACACTGACTACAAAACCTAGCTTTGATTGTACAAGCAAATGTGTGGCTCTTTGAAGCTAATACAATTAGCCAACAACTAAAGAGAGGGAGATTGAAGTGAATTGGACAGCCTGAGAGCGATTCCAGTAGAGAGCATTACAACCTTACAACCCTTTGTGGCAACAGGGACAAAGAGGACTGAACTGAGCTACTGCACACAGTTCATATATCAGCACATGATATCTGCATTAGGAGTGTAGATTTTATATGTTTACAAAACTGCTGTTGTCTGACATGACTTATTTCACATTGGCTTGTGTTAAGTAGTTTATAGGAAATGACAATGACGTGTTTTTGCAGCTTCACAGCAAAAGAAAGCTGCACGGGACAGCCACGGCCAATGTCTGACATATGCTTGAGCAAACCCAGAAATGAAATATTAAACACTAGAACTGATAGAAAAGTTGGCTTGTTTAGACCACTGCAAAGGCAGCATAATCAATCAATCAATAATCCATCTGATGCCATCAGATGTGGCGGAATAAAACCGATTATGATGGGTTTGTATTTGCATGACTGGTCTTTGGAAAATAGATCTGGTCCCGATTTCTAACCCTGTGCAGGGGTTGCAAATCTATGGCTACAGAAGCATAAACAAGAATATGATATGAAAATAAACTATTTCTAGCATTTTAATTTGTTTTGGTTGTTATTATTGTGGTTTGCAGGTCTGAGTACTTACTGCTATATGCAGCTAAAGAAAAAAAATGAAGACCTGCTCCTACTGACTTGGACTTCAATCAGAATGAAATTCAAACTAGCCAATGTCTTTATTTCTTTTATTTTTGCCAATTTAAAAGCTATTAGGCCGCTTTTATTTATTATCAAATTAGTCTACTTTTTATTTGATTAAAACATGTGGAGGACAGATTTTTCCTCGACTTCACATTTGGTCCACGTGCCAAAACATTTTAGTTTTTCACTCCTATTAGCAATGTTGCCATGCTAATTTAAACTTAATAGGACATGTCATTCTGTATGATGCTTACATTTGTTTTAGGGTGTCACAAGCAGTTCTTTGGTCAAAAATTTCTATTAAAAGTGAGTCTTTTGACCCCTACTCTAAAGCAATAGCTTTCAGACACTGATAATAACCTTCTTTAACATATTTAAGCTAAACTTGGGCATACAAATGTGAAAACAGCATAAAGATAGATCTTTAGGACAAAGTTGAACAATTTCACCCCCCCCCCAGCCACATAGACAAAGAAGATAAAGATCCAGACTAGAGAATGTAATCAGATTTATTTTCGATTTAAAAATATCCTCTTTTTCCAGCTTTACTTCCTCATTGGCCTTCTTGATTGCTTCAGCTCAGGAGGACACATGCCTTACTAGAAGCCTCAAAGGATGTCAAAGGAAAATCAATAACGGTAACATGACTAAGAACACTTTATTGGCACATTTGTTGTGATATTTTGGGAAATTAAATGTAAAAGCGATAAATGCTGATAAACCCGCAGTTGGTGATAAAACTGCTGTCTGATGTCACATACAAATAAGAAAAGTTTAACTAAAATGCATGTCACAATATGGGAAGACTCCAGTTCACCAGAGTTCACCATCAGTCTTGTATTAATCTGCAGTCCAGCTTAGTTTCCCCTCGAGCCGAGGCCATCGCAGATATTTCCTAGTTCCTGAAGCAATCCACTGTCAGCAGTTTAGCCTAAAGGCTAAAGCATTAACTAATGGCTTTAGTTTTCTTTTTCCTCATATGTTCAGGAAGTTTATGTCAAGAAGCTCCAAAAATAACTATATACAAATAAAATACACACTAAAAGGAAAGCGTTGTTCTCCAGGTCACAGCTCACTGGCCAACATTTACCCCAGTGAGCAGACCACTGAGGTGTGCTTCCTACTGTAACAAGAAAACAGTTAAAAAAAAAAAAAAGTTTAGCTGTTACCCCACTTAACAGCAATCATGACATGCAAACTACTGCATGCATTAGATGTCAAAGATATAAGAAGCACAGTTTATGAGACCACATGTTACGCAACACTTTAAAACACAAACTAAGAGAGAGATTTAACAACTGGCCAATCGTACTACAAAACAGGGAAGTGACGAAAGTAAGTGAAAACACAGAGCAGAAAGGCAACAGGAAGAGAGCCCATTCTGTTCAGCTCCTGTGTTCGACTGGTACCTGATATCAATGAATACAAAAGAAAA